AAAATTTTCATTTGTTATATAGTTTATATGTTCATTTTCTACAGGTCAAAAAATATATTGGAATAAGTTAAACTTTTTTTAATATGATCATTTTCTACAGGTCAAAAAATATTTATCAAGTTACAACCGGCTTGAACATATATATTTTTTCATTTTTATTATGAACTAACAAACGGGTTAATAGATTTTTCATTTCTAATATGAAATAATATATATGTGCCAAACTCGACTGTCTTAAACTAGGATTGTGCCATCGAAATAAATATATTTAATATTTAATTTATAAGATGTAGTTATTATTTAGGAACACTATTTTCCTCCCTATTAATTAACCTAACAAATACTATTTGTTATTAAATGCATCTTTGATTGAAAACATATATTCTTATTTGGAGTATTTATTTTAAAAAGTAAATCTTTGTTTATCAATTAACAATAAATATTTCACTTCTTACATAAAATAAAGTTTTTATAATTAAACTTCTTAAATTTTTGGTTACAATTAAAATCAAATAAATACACCAAATTATGATTCTTTCAATATATATATATTTATATATTTATATATATATGTGTGTGTGTGTGTATGTTGTTAATTAATTAAAATTTTATGCATAAAATGTTTTTTGAATCTAAAAGTTCGAAATGAATATGTCAACCTATTTTTAATATACATAAAACCATATCTAACATATTCCTTCTACGTCACGGTTTCTACCAAGTAAATAATAGCGATCATAAAAAAACAAATTTAAGTTTAAATTAAAAATAAAATCAGTAATAATTTATGAATAATAAAATTAAATAATATTGAAAAACGTGTAATATATTTTGGTGTTCTCTATCGCCTTTCTCTTTTATTTTTTCATTAGACAACATGGTACTTCTTTTAGTAAAGAATCACAAATCAAATATACTATTCAATTTAAAGTACTCATTTTAAAAATATATAAATTTTTGATCCATTTTTTAGATCACCAAATTTATCTTAGTTTTACACGGGTCAATCTGTGCCAGGTGACATGTTACTTTCTTGCCAAGTTTTATCAAAATCTTAAATAGCGGTGAATTAGTTAAATCCGAACCGAATTATATACATATCACTAAGTTTAGTTGCTTAATCTCAAACCTGTGTCGGGTATGAAAACATTGCTCAACACAATTATAAATGTATTAAGTTTCAAAATTCCAACACATATAATTTTATAATTATCAAATATTTGTTTCGTATAGATCAATTTATAAAGAAAATATATCCCGCTCTTGAAAGATATGTGGTAGTCGCATGTCCAAGATATATTAAAGAGATATTGTCGGTATATTTTTGTTGGGCTTGGGTTTTAATATGATGTATTGATTTATTTACGGATTTGCAATAATCATTTGTAGTTGTACATTGAATTTTTATGTTATTTTCTTATATAATTGTTTTGTTAATCATATTTTTTAAACATATACTGTCTATATAAGACAATGTCAATTTTTCTGACCATAATTTTAAAAATAAACAGTCGATTCCATCTCTATTTATTTTATATGACAATAATATCAACCAAATTGTTTATAATAGTACCCTAAAACTATTTATTCTTAATAAAAAATAAGTTTGAACTCAAAATATAAACTATTAAAAATCAGTACTTTAGATTACCGAATAGAACTCATGATCTCATTGGGTCCCTAAAATTTGTTATCTAACTAAAACGAATAAGAAAAATCAATCTTATACCACACATTAAATTGTACGTAATCGTATTTAATCTATATATGTTGGACCAAACCAAAATTAGTAACGATAATCTATCTGAACTTGGATACTCATGTCTATACATACTTGTGAATAATCAAACAAGGAAATAAATTTAAAGCAAAAACGGTTGTCCCGCCCTCTTTAAGGGCGGGTCAAAATCTAGTTTTTAGTTATAACATAATCGGTTGAGAGAAAATCTAGCAAAATATTACTAAAAGTTAAATATTTTTTTATTAAATAACATAATAATGAATTTTGTAATTAATAATATCATACTATTATACATTAATATTTCACTATAATAACAAAAAAAGAATCCTATACTATTTTATAAATTTCATATTATAGTCTATGCTATATTAAAATAGAATTGTACTATGAATTAAATAACATAAATAAAGTTGGTAAATGAAACTTTATTTTAAAATTTATTTCACTTAAATAAAAAAATTTATTCACCATTAAAAGGATTAACATCATAAATTATGTATATTTTTATACAAAAATGTTAGCATAATGTTAAATTTTTACTATATCTTATTTTTTTACTTAATGTAAAACTCACAAAAACATATTATCTAAAATGATTATATAAAAAATATAATAGTATATAACTAACTTTTAGTTCATGTGTTATTTAAAAAGATAGGATATCAGAAAGTTTTACTAATTCAGAAGATATTAGTGAAAAATATTTTTAACAGAAAATTTAATATTTTTATTATAAATATTATGTTGAGAAAATATAAAAATATAAAAAGCATTTTATATTAATAATGTTGAATAACAAAGTAAAAAATTAAAGAATATTATATATTAATATTTTTGAATAAAAACCTACACCAATTAGATTATAAATTTACACAATATATAACATAAAAATATAAATTATATATTTAAAACATTTACATTAATATTAAATAATTTTTTAAAAATGAAAAATATATCCGCACGAACGTGCGGGTAAAAACTCTAGTTTGGCTAAGAATCGGTTTTTATATCTCTTATTTAAAAGCATATTTTTATTTTTTTCATGTTTAAAAACTAAAAAAATATATCTTAACTGAAACTAAAAACCCCGTCGGATTGTTCGTAGCCAAGTGACAACTGAGCTCTGCATTTGGGCCCTGACGTTAGGGGTTCGACCCCTCCATACCTCAGCTTGAGGATTTCGGTCCAAGGTGACCAAATATTGACAAAAAAAAAACTGAAACTAAAAACTCCATCTTAAAAACTTCCAATAAATATGGTCTAAGAGATTTTAGGATGGATTCTCCACAAAATAATAGATCTCACAACTACTTACATATATACAATATATGCATATATAATATATATGAAAACAAAATGAGCTCTCCGGCTCTTATGGTATATTGTATGCATATGAAAACAAAATGAGCTCTTTTAATGGGCTCTATTTAGCCCAACAGTACCGTGGTTGTTTTGTCCATGATCCATAGCTGGACATATCAAGATTTGTCCATAGCCCAACAGTACCATGGTTGTTTTGTCCATGATCGGTTTCAAACTATAGCTGGACATATCTATAGCTGGACATATCAAGATTAGAATGCAAAGTCCAGTTCACGCAACATCCAGAAGCCTAGTGACAGTAAATCATGACCACTGCCGAATCGAAAAGGCACCTGCTGATTGTATATATACATACAGTCAAAGTTTAGCTTTCTTGAGCATGAGTTTGATCATACTACCATAGGTATCATATCAGAACGAGACACATGAAGATGATAGCTAAATAGCTAATCAATCACATCTCTAGATATGATCCAAAACACGTTTAAATTATTCGATTCATAGATTTACTAGAGGAATCAAATTTCAATTCACTAATCGCCATGTTAATAGTATATTGTCTACAAAACCTAATGGATAAGCCTAACAGCAAATACCTATCAATAGAAATTAGGTAGGTACATGCAAATGCTTTTTTAAAATGTACCAGCAGCATTCTCAACCTCGTTAGATAAATCCCAAACTTAAATGATAAGCATCTATCGAAAGCAAACATTAGAAGCTACATCAAAGTTTGGTGCAAATAATCTATATTTTAGCATCGAGTCATGTAATTCATCAAACTTATTTCTTAAATCTCAACGAACTTTCATTCATTTTTTCACCAAATAACAAAGAATTTCCATATAAAAAGTGGATATTCTTGACTAATTCATCTATAATAAGTAGGGTAAAGGTAAATTTAGTGGAGGGGACGTGAAACATAATAGCCATGTCTCAAAGGGGCTATCATGATTAATCATAACTTCAACCAGAAAAGAGCTATACAACTTTATACTTATATATCTAATATCTATCAATAAATTATTTTTGAGAAAGTTTTATACGACGAGTCAGAAGTACTTGTTAGGATCTAATACTTTAGATAATTTTGTATTCTTCTTCCCGTATTGTTCATGTCTTCTCCGTAACCAATACATACATACACATACATAATGTATCAATCGTGCAATAAAATAAAAGTGGATATATAAAGTAAGTAATGAGCCATGCAGAAAAACATGTGAGGTAGGGCTCAACAAAGGCCCAAATGGAGCGTACTGTGGTCCCTTCCTTAGAGGGAAAAATAATAGTACTAATTTGTTTAGTTTCCTTTATTTATACACACATATTCACTGTTGGGATTTTCCCGCGCAGAAGAAGGACCAGAAACGCATGTCTTGACTACTCTTCATTAATTTTTGTCTTGTGGCTAACAAGGAGACGATGGAAACTACAATATTTTCTTTAAATGTTAGCCTTGGAACCATCGACTTATACAAGCCCATTTGTCTTTATTTAGACGAACCAACCATATAATAATACTAACAGTTATCTAAAATTTAATCACCTTTATTTTTTTTGTGGAGCACGTACGTACCAACAACATTTTAATAAAAAGATTAAAGAGCGTAGATGGATCTGTATATAATAAATCGCCTATTTTGTTGTCAATACAGACGGACCAGTGGTTAGGAGTAGAATTCGCTGACGTGGAGGGTAGGATAGTAATATTGAGTATATATCCGAGGGTAAAAAAGGAAAGGTAAAGATACCTCGTATACAGAGAGAGAGAGAGAGGGAGTGGAGTAGCTTCTTCTTCATTCTTCACTTTTTCTTCTCCTTCTCCCGAGGGGAAACGACTCGGTGGACTCGTTCTCATTCTCCAAATCGAGACGAAAGATATCGATTCGGATTCGAGACTCTGATTCTGAATTTTCGTAGATAGATTTTCACGATGGAATTGCATTCATCTTCTTCTTCACCGGAGAGGTGTAGCGTGAAAGTGGCGGTTAACGTTCGACCATTGATCGGAGACGAGATAAGTCAGGGTTGCAGGGAATGCGTTTCCGTTTCTCCGGTAACGCCACAGGTTAGTTTTTTCTTCTTCCATCGTGTAACGTGAGATTTTAATATAGAAAGTCAGTTTCATCGTCGACGTCGTTGTTTACTTCACACGCTTATTATTTTTTCTGGATCCAGGATCGAATCCCAGTTCTAACTCTGACACTAGCATTTATTAATCTCTCTCTTTTTTTTCCACTGATAAAACAGTGTCAATTTCTTTTTAGGGAATTTGCATCTGATAACCATAAAAACAAATTTAATTAGCTATATGGAAAAGCACTATTACTCTTTCTATAATACCAGCAATGTCCCTACCTATGTAGCTAAGTAACATGCACGCGCCCTCATTTTACGATTTGGCGTGTACAAGTTGAGAGAAAAAATATTAAAAGTTACAAGGAATCGGAGGAGCGGAAGAGAAGGATCCGGCGACGGAAAAACGAAAGAAGAAGAAGAACATTTACAAAGGAATACGTAAGCGACCGTGGGAATGTGTATGAGTTGAGAGATAAAACATTGGAAGCTCCAAGAAACCGGAGGAGACGGCGGAGAAGGATCCGACGACGAAGAAACGGAGAAAGAAGAAGAACAATTACGTAATTGACCGTGAGAAAAATATATTGGCGTAAGATATTCAAGATCCAAGAAATGGCGCCAGATTCTGGTTCGAGACATTCAACACGGCGGAGGAAGCCACCATGTCCCATGGATTATGACCTTGCGGCTAAGCGGTTCCGCAGGATAAAGCCAAACCAAACTTCCCAGATCTTCTCTATTGTCTCCAGTATCAGAAGTTCAGCCTACGATTGTAATATTTGAACAGATAATACACCGACATAAAACTGATCCAAATCTAAATAAAATCCGGCCACAGTAGATGGCTTAGGTGCGTGAGATGCACCTGAGGGTTATATTGGCAAACCGGTACCAACAATTAACCACATCTGCAAATACTTTCAAAATCTGCATAGATAGCTAATTACCGAGTATGTTTTGTATATTCACCTAAATAGTCCTTCTTTTTACCATATATATATATATATATATATATATATATATATATAAATAATAATATTGCCATGTTGTTTTAAAAATATTGTTTTAATGTGTGTGTTTATTGATGTTATATTACAGGTGCAAATGGGAACACATTCCTTCACATTTGATCACGTTTATGGTGGAAGTAATGGTTCTCCTTCTTCCTTGATGTTTGGAGAATGTGTTGCTCCTCTTGTTGATGGTTTGTTCCATGGTTACAATGCTACTGTTCTCGCTTATGGTCAGGTATAATTATTAGTTTCTATAATTGGAACTAGTTTCATTTTCCAACTAATCTTTTTTTTTTACATAAATGATGCAGACAGGATCTGGAAAGACATACACCATGGGGACTGCTTTTAAAGATGGTTCAACCAATGGCCTGATTCCTCAAGTTATGACTGCTCTCTTCCACAAAATTGAGTCTGTTAAGCACCAAATGGAGTTCCAGTTACATGTCTCTTTCATCGAGGTACTGATCGCTTTGTCAATTCTTTATCTATTGATCAATAAGTGTAAACTCTGTTTCAACCTTGCCTTTTTTCTCATCTGTAGATTCTCAAAGAAGAAGTTCTAGATTTGCTGGATAGTGTGAGACTAGCCAATGGGACCCCTGGGAAGGTTGGTCTTAGTAAGTCACCTGTACAGATTCGCGAATCACCAAGCGGAGCAATAACACTCTCTGGCGCAACTGAAGTTCCCATAGCTACTAAGGAAGAGATGGCTTCCTGTCTAGAGCAAGGATCTTTAACTAGGGCTACTGGGAGCACAAATATGAATAATCTGTCAAGGTTAGAATCCCTGTACCCACGCTTTGAGACGAAAAATTTCCGGAAGTAGCAAGTAGTGCCTTACATTCATTAACTGTTAATGAGGCTTAGTGTACTAAACGTAGATGTAATGAACAGTAACAAAAAAAACACATACTCCCTACTCATAGTACGAATGAGATTAGAAATGGTAAAAAGAGGCACGCATCATAAACAGTTTCCTGGTCTTGTTTATATTTACTTAATAAGGAAGAAATTTTAGCATTGTGATTATATGATTGTGTCTGAGTCTGAGAATGCATCCTAATGTAATAGCATGGCCTTTTTATGTGTGATATCAATAGCCGTTCACATGCCATCTTCACAATCACCTTAGAACAGACGCGAAAAATCACTCCCATCTCAGTGGTTGAAGGCATCGTAGATGAGGATATGGGTGAGGAGTATTCTTGTGCCAAGCTTCATCTCGTAGATCTTGCTGGATCTGAAAGAGCTAAACGGACAGGTTCAGGAGGTGCCCGATTGAAAGAAGGTCCGTACAACTGACTTCTCATCTTACATCCTTCAGAGGAAGTTGACTTGTATCTAAATTCCAAGTTCTCTGTTATACGAAACAGGAATTTACATCAATAGGGGACTCCTTGCACTTGGAAATGTCATCAGTGCACTTGGGGATGACAGAAAGCGAAAAGAAGGTGCTCATGTTCCTTACCGTGATAGTAAACTTACTCGGTTATTGCAGGTTCATCTCTAACTTTGCTCTTCTAGATCCTAATATGTGGGGATACCTCAAGATCACTCTACGTAAAAAAAATTAGTCGCATTAACTTTACGTCCTCTTAAGTATGATTCATAACGAATGAATATTACCCAATTGTTACTTGTTAGTCATATATGATTCATGCGTCAGTTTTTTTTCACTAAAAGTGTCCGTTTCATTGTTGCAGGATTCTCTTGGTGGAAATAGTAAAACAGTCATGATAGGTAAACCTTTAAGTTGTATGAGTTAATATCCTGGAAGTCTCATATCATTTCACAAATTTAACTCTCTGTTGGCCTTATTCTTGTAGCTTGCATCAGTCCTGCTGATATCAATGCCGAAGAAACTCTGAACACGCTCAAATATGCAAACCGTGCTAGGAATATCCAGAATAAGCCTGTTGTAAGTACTGAGAACTAACTTGGATGAGCTTTCAATTCTGCAGACAAAACACCACCAGCAGCTAATACAATATAGGAAGTTATATATGGAAAAAAGAACATTCACTTGGGAGCTCTAACGGGACAGATTCCTTTATCTTGTTGCGCAGGCCAATAAAGATTTAATATGTAGTGAGATGCAAAAGATGCGTCAACAGCTACAAAATCTACAAGCTGCACTGTGTACTCGTGGGGAAACCCCATCAAAGGAAGTGCAGGTACATATATAACTTCTGCGGAAATGAGTCAGATGGTTTTTAAAAACTTATCATTACTAATCGTATATACTTCCATTTATAAGGTTATGAGAGAGAAGATTATGAAGCTAGAGTCTGCCAACGAGGAGCTTTCTCGAGAGCTTCACAACTATCGCAGCAAGATAGCTACTCTTGACTATTGCAATATTAATACTCAGGTAATTGCTTTATGCATTAGCCATTAGGGAATTAAGATAGATTTATCTGGCAGTTTTCTTAATTGCTGAAAAAGAGTTGTTCACTTGATCATAAACTCAGGACGATGGTGTGAATTTTACAAAAGATGATGGTCTCAAAAGGGGATTCGAAAGTATGGATTCAGATTATGAAATGAGTGAAGCAACATCAGGTTTTGAACACTGGCTTCTCTACAACTTTTATCATGAAATGCATTTTGCTTTCATATACCCTCACTTATTCTTGTAATCTTTTCAAATTCAAGGTGGAATCTCTGAAGATATAGATGGAGCAGCAAAAGAGTGGGAACATGCACTTAGGCAGAATAACATGGGCAACGAATTAAGTGAACTGAGCAAACGTCTGGAGGAGAAAGAGGTATAGTCATTGCTCAATTGAAGTTTTGCTGATAAAGATTGGGTTATTTTGCTGATTGTATGACTCATATAAAAATTTGCAGTCAGAGATGAAAGTATATGGGGTTGGAACCGAAACTATCAGACAACACTTTGAGAAGAAAATGATGGAACTTGAGAAAGAGAAAAGAACTGTACAGGTGAAATATAACATACTAATTTTTCTCGTTTGATATTTTTTATTTAAGTTTCAGTACCGGAGTCCTGAGTAACATCTACAGGTTGAGAGAGATCTACTGTTGGATGAAGTTGAGAAACTCTCTGCTAGTTCTGATAGACAAGCACAAGTTGCAAGAGACAGCCACGCAAAAAAACTAAAAGCACTCGAGACACAGATTTCAAATCTTAAAAAGAAACAAGAAAACCAAGTTGAGGCCTTGAAACAAAAGCAAAAAAGTGAGGATGCAGCAAAGCGTTTACAAGCTGAAATACAATACATTAAGGCTCAGAAGGTTGCGTCTTGTGTCTGCTGTCCCTAATCGGATCACGTAATCTTGATCTACATGTTAACTTTTATTCTTTTCTTTTATTATCCAGGTTCAACTACAACATAAGATGAAACAAGAAGCTGAACAGTTCCGACAATGGAAAGCTTCTCAAGAAAAGGAATTGTTGCAGGTACTTTATCTGCATCCATTTCATCAACTATTCACTGTCTTGTCTTTCAAATTATTTAATTGGAAATAATCTTGAGTTTCGCTTTTAATTATTTTTCGTGTAGCTCAAGAAAGAAGGAAGGAAGACAGAGCATGAAAGACTCAAACTCGAAGCCCTCAATCGACGTCAGAAAATGGTACGAGTACTTGATGCTTTGAACAATCATTCAATTCGAGTGCCAAAAAAGAATCTCAAGAGAAATGCATCTTAATGTCTTCCAGGTTCTTCATAGAAAAACAGAGGAAGCAGCAATGGCTACCAAAAGACTAAAGGAGCTGCTGGAATCTCGCAAGTCTTCAGGTAATGTATTTTCCGAGACACATTTTACTTGGTTCGTGTTTGTCTTTTCATAATCCTTCTACTTTCTTTCTCAGTTTCTACCAATGGTCAACCACCAACTAAACAGGTAATAAACACTCTTAATTTGCATATGAATCTCACCATCCCGCACAAGTGTCAACTCTTTCCTCTGCATACTCTTTGCAGGTGAAAGGAAAAACTCTTCAGAAATGGCTTGATAACGAGCTAGAGGTTATGACAAAAGTACATCAAGTTCGTTCCCAATATGAAAAGCAAATCCAAGTGTGCGTTTTTTTTAAACTTTGTTTCAGTCATATTGTTAGCTGTAGACTTCTTTCTCCCAGAAAATTTTCTAATCAATAATCTACTCTGGATGCATACAGACGAGCTGCATTGGCTGAAGAGCTAACCTCCTTAAAAAGAGAAATGGACTTTGCTTCAAGTCCTCATCAAGACAAAAATGGACAGTTCAGGTACAACTTTGAATGAAGTAACTCTGTATTGATATTTGCCTAAAACCAAGTTTCTTGGAAATGGATTTATCCACTTTGTGACTTGTTTATCTTTTCTCTGTGCGTCAGATTTTTATCACCAAAAACAAGGTTGGAGAGAATAGCTTCTCTTGAGAGCATGTTGGATGTTTCCTCAAATGCTCTCACAGCCATGGCCTCTCAGCTCTCAGAAGCAGAGGAAAGAGAGCATAACCTACACACTAAGACTCGGTGGAACTCCATCAAGTCCATGTCTGATGCCAAGTGTTTGCTTCAATATGTGTTTAATTCCACTGCCGAAGCAAGGTAACCTACTCTTAGATCTGATCAAAGACAGACTTTGGGGCGAGATTGATCATTAATGTTGTCTTTTCTCGAACATCAAATAGGTGCAAAATCTGGGAGAAAGACATGGACATCAAAGAGAAAAAGGAACAACTAAATGATCTCCTCTGCTTATTACAATTATCTGAAGTCCAGAACCGAGAGATACTTAAAGAGAAAAAGACAAGGGAGCATACATTGTCCATTGCATTGGCTTCATCATCATCATCCTCGGTTTTTACTTCTGATCTTTCTTTTTTACTAAATTGAAATCCAAAGCCTCTTATGTGAGAATCTCTCCTTGAAACAAGAATACGCAAATTTCACATCTTGCAGGTAACTTCAAGAAGCTCATCAAAGCACAATGGAGATAACAACGCTAGCAACCAATCGTCTCCACCTTCATATCATCGAGCAGCAAAGCATCTCAAATACGCTGCGCCAGGGACAGTCAATGTGTCTGTGAGAGAATCAGCGGCTTTGTTAGAAGAGAAGAGAAAGTTGAAAGCGATGAAGAAAATGGGACAGAGTGGGAAGCTGTGGAAGTGGAAGAGAAGTCATCATCAGTGGTTGCTTCAGTTTAAATGGAAATGGCAGAAACCATGGAAACTCTCTGAGTGGATTAAGCATAACGATGAGACCACTATGCTCTTCATGTCGTCTAAGAGCCATGGTGATGGTGATAATTACTCGTGGAGCAGCCGACACTGAGTTTTGCAATGTGCTTAAAGAGTTAAAGATGTACTTGGGGTTGACTCGTGATTCATCTGTATATACACACACGCGAGCCTGTTCTTTCTATTTTTTGGGTTGATAGATTTAGAGTTGGTCGTTTGGGTTGTAGCAGTCCAAGGACATTGTTTTTTATACTTTCAAATATTCTTCTAATCTCTTCTTTCTCTTTCAAACAACTCATAAAAGCATAATTGATGGACTATTACTATTGATGAAGATGAAATCTAAAAATTAATAATATCAACTAAAATTTTACTTTGAGAAATACTATTTTCAAATCTATATATAATAGCAAACCATTTCTGACATCATCATTTTTTATAGAAAAAAATATTCAATCCAATAGTCAAAATTACTTGATTTTAAGATCTAACGAACCAAAAATACACTTTGGAAGGATTGTTGATGTTATCAAATATTTGGCAACTCTTCTATCAAGAAGCATATATTTAATTTTAAAAGTCAAAATCATATTTGTCATTTTTGACAAGTTTGAATATTAATTTGGGGTTTTTTATTATTAATATATTTTTATTAACTTTTGAGACTAATATAGATTTTTTTAATGAAAATTGAAAATACATACTTTTTAATAATTTAAAAAGTATAAATTTAAAACAAATATTATTCAGTTTTTATGAAAAGACACAAGTTTAAATATTAATTGAGAATTTTTTATTAATAGATATTTTTGTTGTGAGAAGACACAACTCTTATAACCTATTTTAAATACTCTTAAACTATTTTTTTCTGAAACAATTTGTTTTATAGTGAAAAGATGCATTTTTTCAAATAATAGATATTTTTTTATGAAAAGACACAATTTTATTTATAATGAAAAGATGCAACTTTTACACTAATATATTTCAGTTTTTTTACGAATGATACAACCTCTGAACAATTGTTTTGTTTTTCATTGTTTTTTAATGAAAAGATACCATTTTTAAACTAATATATTTCAGTTTTTTTAATAAAAGAAATCAATCTTTCAACTATTGTTATTATGAGAAGACATAACTTTTATAACCTCTTTTAAATATTTTTAAACTATTTTTTTTCTGAAACACAATTTGTTTTTTATAATGAAAAGATGCAAATTTTAAAACAATAAATAAATTTTTATGAAAAGACACCATTTTATTTATAGTAAAAAGATGCAAATATTAACAATTATATTTTACTTTTTATTAAAAGATACAACCTTTCAACAATTGTTTTGTTTTTCATCTAATAGTCCTAATAAAATTTTAATGCAAATTTTAAAATAAGATTTTTTTTTTGAAAAGACACAATTATTTTTATAATGACAAGATGAAACTTTTAAATTAATATATTTCAGTTTTTTATGAAAAGCTACAACCCTTTTTTTTTTTTGCCGTCGAATTGGATTATATTCATAAACATGAAACCACAATACAAACAATTGCCCATAGAAAGTGGGGAGAATTTCAATTGTACCGCTTTGGTGGTACCACTTTTCATGTTTACCATCAACAAATGAACATTTTCAAAAATACACATTTTATTAAAGGATAAAAGACTCTTATAATCTTGTTCTTTATATATATACATAAAATAAAATATTAACCCTAAACCCTAAAACATCAATTCTAAACTCTAGACCCTAAAAAGTAAACCCTAAACCCTAAACATCACCCCTAAACCCTAAAATATCAATTCTAAACCTTAAACTCTAAACCCTAAAAAGTAAACCCTAAACCCTAAAAAATCAACACTAAACCCTAAACTATCAATCCTAAACCCAAAACCCAAAACTCTAAATTCTAATAGTATTTTGACTATTAAAATTTTAATGGTAAAGTTGGTTAGTGTAAAGTTGAAAAATAGTATCTTGAAAGTGTTATTTCTCGCAATTTCCCTAGAAAGTGGCTACTTTAACCAATAGAAAGCGGCTACTTAAACCCACGCAGGGGTGACTCTAATCCACACAGGGACGACCAACAAATTAGAATACAAAGACCAACATCTAAATCCCATAAGAAAGGACACTAAAATCCATCGCACATAAGCAAGCTAAACATATACCCAACAAATAATGGAAAGCTAGTTTAGCAAATGAATGAACACTTCTGTAGTGGACCATGATCGAGAATTTCCGCTGGTGCCTTTAGCCCTGCCACGCGAAAATAACCGCCTCCTACACCACGACTCATCGCTGCTGCCTATGCATGCTATGTGATACCGCCCAAGAACCCAAACCCTGCGACTTCATCACCCGACCGGTAGAACCTCTTCAAGATTCACAAAACCTACGGATATATATATATATATATATATATATATATATATATATATATATATATATATATATATATATATATATATATATATATATATATATATATATATATATGACACGCAACGCGTCCAAATACTCCACAAAAGAAGTCCATATACAAACACCATTAAGATGAGACCTTACCACACAGACTCTCCATTAAGAACCGAATCGTTAAGCAATCATGGCATCCACCACTAGTTGAAAATAATCTGCTAAACTGATTCCCATCACCATGAAAACTAGGCTTCACAACACTCCAACACACCGATCCAGATGAATCTCCAACCCTGGTCACGCCAACAAGGATCTGAAGCTCAAGCCCAGCAGAGACCTCAGCATAAACCAACCACACGGACTGTCTCCACCTACCCCACCGCGGAGTCCCTACGAGACCTCGCAGAGACGAGAGCTTTCCGTGCCGTCACCAAACGCAGACCCAGATTCGCATCCAAACATAACACCTAACTAGCAGATCTACAAAGGACAGAGAATACGAAGCTAACTAGACTGGCGGTGGTGCTAACGGAGCCACCACGCGCCGATCACCAGAGATTGAAGAGTTTGTGGCTGAGGGAGACAGGAGGGTTTTCTTCTTTTCACCTTGACTAAAAATAAAGCTACAACCTTTCAACAATTGTTATTATGAGAAGACACAATTCTTATAATCTCTTTTAAATAATTTTAAACTACTTTATCTGAAACACAATTTTTTTTTAATAATGAAAAGATTCAAATTTTAAAGTAATTGATAATTTTTTAATGAAAAGACACAATTCATTTATAATGAAAAGATGCAACTTTTAAACTATTATATTTCAATTTTTTTTTATGAAAAGATACAATATTTCAACAATTGTTTTGTTTTCCATCTAATGGTCCCAATAAGTTTTTTTATGCAACTTTTAAAAGAAAAGGTTTTAGTTTTAAAGACACAATTGTTTTCAGAATGAAAATATGAAACTTTTAAACCAATATATTTCAGCTTTTTTGTGAAATGATACAACATTTCAACAATTGTTTTTTTTTTTCATGTAATGGTCTTAAAAAATGTTTTGTGGCATTCTAGAGTTGGTCACAATATTGGTATTGATAGTAGATTGGCTCGAGAAGGTCTTCTTGGAACACTCACTTGAGTTGATCTTGACACATGTGAACCATGTTTAGCTGGAAAAGCAGTAAGGAAACCATTTGGGAAAGCAACAAGAGTTGATCATCCATTGCAATTAATTCATTCAGACATTTATGGTTCGAAGAATGTGAGGGGAGGCATGGGGCCTCATATTTCATCACATTTATAGACGATTTCACTCGATTTGGACATGTCTACCTAATTTCTCATAAGTCGGAAGCATTAGAGTGCTTTCGACGATATAACACTTTAGTCGAAAATAAGTTGGAGAGGACGATAAATTGTTACTGATCGAGGAGAGGAATAGCTATCTGAACAGTTTAAGAAACTATATGATGAAAAGGGTATTGTCAGAAAATTCACTACCCCTTATACACCACAACAAAATGGTGTATCAGAAAGAAGAAACCGTACTCTTCTTGAAATGGTTAGGTCTATGATAGCGCAAGCAAACCTTCCAATTTCATATTGGGGAGATGCATTATTAACTGCTGCCTATATACTTAACCATTTTCCCTCTAAATCTGTTGCTTCCACTCCTTATGAATTATGGACATGAAGAAAGCCTGATTTAATGCATTTGAGGGGGGGGGGGGGTCTGCAGCATTTGTTCGCGATACTTCACATCCTCATGGAAATTAGGTCCTAGAGGAAAGAAGTGTATCTTTATTAGGTATTCTGAGCATTCTAAAGGTTATGTGCTCATCGACGAACAATCAGATGGAAGTATAAGAGAAATCAAATCACGAGATGTGACATTTATGGAAAGTGATTTTCCTAAAAGAGGAGAGGTTGAAAGGGAGTCTTGTCTTAAAGAGATAATTGACCCAACTAATGTTTTTTCTACTAACCAATATGTGGAAGTTGGTGAAAGTTCTCATAAACTATCTCAACTTAGTGGGAGAGAAACATTGGTTAATGATTCTTCAAGAGTCTGAGTGCGTAGAAATAATCGTGAAAGAATTCCTCGGCGTCGATTTGAGATTGAAGGGGAAGCTTTCATGGTTGCCTTGCATGATGAATTAGAGCCTAGATCAGTTCAACATGCTCTCCATTGTCCTAACTCAGCTGAATGGAACTGTGCAATCAGAGAAGAACTAGAATCTATGAAGGTAAATCAAGTCTGGGACTTGGTTGATCTTCCGCCATAACGTCGAGCAATTGGAAACAAATGGATTTTCAAGATTAAAAGAAAGGCGGATGGATCCATAGATAGGTATAAGGCTCGTTTGGTAGCAAAAGCTCATATCCAACAAGAGGGTATAGACTATGAGGAAACATTTTCACCAGTGGTGAGATTTGCCTCAATTCGCCTTATTCTAGCCATAGTTGCCAGACTAGATTTAGAATTACATCAAATGGACGTTAAGACTACATTTCTTAATGGAGAACTTGAAGAAGAAATCTACATGGAACAACCTATTGGCTTTGTGGAAAAAGGTCATGAGCGCAAAGTTTGTAAGCTCAAGCGTACCATATATGGTTTAAAACAATCTTCTAGACAATGGTACTTTCGTTTTCATCGGGCTATAACATCTTATGAATTTACGATGATTAGTGAAGATCAATTTGTCTATGTCAAGAGAACTGGACAATTGTTTTGTAATTCTATCACTATATGTTGATGACATCTTGTTGGCTGGAAATGACATGGAGTTTTTAACAACCGTTAAGAAATAGTTATCATCTCATTTTGAGATGAACGATATGGGAGAAGCAAACTATGTTCTTGGTGTTAAAATTCACTGAGATCGATCAAGGAAATTATTAGCCCTGTCACCAGAGTCATACATTCGTACAATTC